GCTGTGTAATGGGAGTCGTAACTTCGGAAGCCAGAGACTGTTCTGTGTAATGGTAGGAGCCTATATCGCAGTGGAGAATAAGTTATGATATGTCAACTGGGATGGTGTGCTACAGTCTCACAGGGCTCAGTGGCATAAGCTGCTGACTAGTTGGTGCTAGCTACTTGCGGTCAAGGGTTCGATTTCCTGTAAGCGACCGAAGGTATGCGCGACATGGACGGGCCCCAATAGGGCGAAACGAGCGTCTTGTGCCGTTCCCGATGGGAATTTGACTAACCTGACTTGTGAGCAGCTGGGATGAACCGGGAAAATATCATCAATAATCTTCCCACTCATCAGTAACCAAAACATACGCTCGCAGTCTACAAATGTTATGGGGACAGAACTACTGAGTAGTGGAAGTCGTGACACCGGAGGTCGGCCACTATCCTCTAAAATGGTAGGATCCTGCATGGCAGTGGAGGATAGGTTGTGCTAGATCCCAGTTAGCTTGCTAATTCAGATGGTCTGTCTCCATAACCCATGGCACAGTGGCATAAGCTGCTTACTAGTTGCTAGAGATCAAGGGTTCGCACCACTGAGGAGCCCCAATGGTTCGAAACATGCAGCTGGTGCTTTTCCGGATTGGTGGTTAGACTATCTGACTGATGAGCTGCTGTGACAAATCAGTAAAATTTCATGCGTTATTGTTGAGGAGCTCATTTAGCTCCTCCAAACTTGTTCAAAGCTCGCCTCAGCAATACTGCCGCCATACAGCTATTCAAAATGCGAATCTAACACTTGAGTTCTCATAATGAAAACAGTTGTTATGTATTAGCACAAACTGCGCAGGCCACCTAAACTCTTCCTGCTGACACTGCTGTATCGTCCATCGTCTTAAGCCGCGGTGACCTCAGCTAAGTTTTTCTCAGAACATTCCCAACACGTGACAATTCAGGTACGTTACCAGCATTCACCTTCTACAGTTCATGTATTACGCTTCCATAATATTGAGCTATAAATACGTAGGTGCAGAAGGCATGCTTATCTTTAGCTGATTCTTGTGCATCAGTGCAGTCGTGGGAGGCTACGCATTTCCTCTCCAGTCTCAGCTTGTGTACACACACATATGGTGGCTAGATCCCCAATTCCTCGCAGCGTCTTTGTGTGGATTGTCACTGTGTGTGTGCTGTATCACTGTATATGCTGCGCACTTGTGACATCTCCGAGTCTGCTAAGTGCGCAGTTGAAAGCAACTATCCGGTCATCCGTGGCGAAGCTGTGCGCTATCGGGCAAGTGCATAGGTTACGGATCGGGAAACGCCTTCCTTGCGGTGGTAACTGTGAATAAGTTTCATTTGTCCTGCAAGCGAGTCGAATAAGCAGCCGCGGACAATCAGCAGCAGCATCTCAGAGCGTGGGGAGTTCTGGATTGGTCACCTGGTTCTCTATTAAGTAGCACAAGAGCACGTACGGCGCTGCATCAAAGGCAACGTGACCGGTTGTTGGGTAACTAACCACCCAGTTATGAAACCGGAAGTAAGTACGTAAAGGAGGGCGGATGGACAACCTCGCACGCCACCAGCTTGTGTGGACTGCTTTCGAAAGCTGAGAACACATAGGAGCCTTCTGGCTGTTAACGTCCTCGTATTCAGTGTCTGGTTGGATGTTCCAGGAAAAATCTTCTAACTTCTACGCTGCCACACTCGGACTTTTCGGGCGCCATGAGTAGCTTTATACTGCTAGGTTACTGACTCTCGACGGCTTGCGATATACGTTAATCGCCCCACTACCTTGCGGGTTAATTCTTTACGATCTAAGACTACGATGGAGTGGACCCTTAAATCAGCCCTCTTCATCGAGCTGGATAAGCGGGAAGCTACATGCCCACACAACACATCTGGACATAAACCTATGTAACTATGCTCACCATACACACTCTCAAGTGCTGAAGACCCGCTCCGCAAAACTATGCGCCGCAGCACCACCTGCTACATGTTTTGCTCCACACTTGTTGAACTTACGCATTCCGGGAAATTATTTGCTAATAATGGGCCTCCAACAGCGTGCCGCTTTTATTGACAAAACTAAGTGTAGATAAGTAGCTAAAGACCCTCCGTATGTTACGCAATCGTGAAGACAGGACCTTTCTAACCTAAGGGTCTATTTCAAGTCGGCCGTTTCAATGTCCGGAACACGTGCAACTCCTGCTCGCACTCTGGGATCCTTCAATATTTGGTGTCCATTGCTTTTCTGAGAGCAACTTACAGGACTCTATCACAACCCAAAAACTGACATCGCCTGCGCGCTCCCGCGGTACATTTACACTACGCGTATCCGGAGACGCAATAGCTGAAGCCGCCGGTCAGGCCGATGTGGGGATCGCGTTAAGTGTGTGTACAGACGCAGTACTAATTGATTAGACCGCAGTTAATAGCCGACTTTGCGCAATTCGGTTAAAAATCACCGCACGATTGTCCACCAACAAGAGTACCAAACGCTGCTTGCTTGTCGGAGCATGTCCCAAAGGATTGCAGCATGGACTCAGACAAGGACGAGTTCTATAGTCAATTTTCTTACTTTCTCCGCAAGGATACCGTGGTGACTGCCGGGAACTTAAACACGCAGATCGGTTGATTCGAAGCTGATGAACGCGATTCTTTTTATCTACATGGTCACAGCACACGCAGGACAGCTAACGGAGATCGCCTTCTATAGCAGTGTTTAGCACGGCTTATGCCTCTTGAGCACAAACTAATGGTGCTCCTAGCGACTGCGCATCACTTGGCGACCCCCTTCGCATGGACAGTGGTAGATGCAGACTGACCACAAGGCTAGCAGTTACTATTGGCGATGATGTACGACGGACTGCAAATCAATTTGGACTATTTACCTCATTTCTGATCGCACATCTGCGTGGGTTAAAGTTGGCCAGCGTTTCGGTGGCACCCGACGGCCTAAGGTACTCAAAACTGCTGTTCCAAATATGCTCAGTGCATTTCAGAATTCCTTAGTTGCTAATCTGAGGATACATCTACCAACAGATGTTGAGGCGCACTGCACACACATCTAAAGTGCCGTGCACAAGTCTGCCAGCGTAGGCTGCAGTTTAACTAGGGACATTATCAACCGATGGATTTCCGCTCGATATGTTCAATCTATGGAAAGCCGCAGGACGATTCCTTCTGGTACTGAGTATGACTCATTGCGCTGAGTTACCAAGGAAGATGCCAAACAAGATCGCGAAGTCCGGTGGGCGCAGCGTGTCATCGATAGGTAACAAGCCGCCTCCTCAGGAGACCCCTGTAGGCACTTTCCTTTATCCTATCTACCGGTGGCGATAAGCCAACTGTAAGCGAAGTGGTGTGTGAAAACAGCTGTAAGCCAATTCACAATCGTCGACAGCGGCTTGTACATTCGGCAGGACACTTTGAACAGTAATACAACTAGCCATGATTGCCCTCGAGTTGCTATTTTTGTATCGACGGTGATCCCTGTTATATAAAAGCACCACTTCGCCATCGGAGGCCGAAGGGGCCAATGACCTTCATCTTCTAATGCATCACAAATCTTCCGGTCCAGACGAAGTACCGGCTCTTTTCCTGGATGAAGACCCGTCTCTCTTATTTAGAAGTAAATACCTTCCTTCAAGAAACTTGGACTGCAGAAGTCATCCCACCTGAATGGGACTTAGAGGACGTAGTGCAAATTTCCGAAAGGAGTGAAGGAACAGAATGTGTCAACAACCGAGGGATCGGCCTTCTATGTGTTGCGTCCAAACTACTTGATTTCTTGCTTTTACGGAGGCTCAGTCGAGTACGCGACAGCATGAGCGGATTGACAGATGAAATCAAGTTACTTAGCTCCAAAGGCATCGTAGCGCTTCCCAAATTCCGACATCTCTGGTGTCAGTGTAATCTCAACTTCGCACTAAAAGGCCGGGTCTACAACGCTACAGTACAAATAGTGCTACCTTACAGCTGCGAGACCTGACCCGTTCCAATGAGCGAAGTCTAGAGACTGTCTGATTTTGATCACCGCTACCTCCGGAGCATCAGTGATGCACGTTGACACCACCGAATTACAAATGATGTGGGATTTTCAAGACAGACAGTCTCAGAGGACCACTGAATAGCACAATGTTCTAAAAAAGAATTATGGTGCGCCAGGAAAGATCTCCGTGTGACCGAACAATAGTCACCCTCGCCGCGCTTTGTTTACATGCGCCAGGGCTGATTGGAACTCACGGACAGGTGGCCAGCGTACATGTGTCCGGAAAGTCAATAGAAGGGTGTTCTAAACTCCATGGTCGGGGGTCCAAGAACACTGAACAAACCTGATGGGAAATGCCATAGGATAATGCCGCGATTCATGCGTTGAGTCAATGTATTATGAGACTCTCCTCCTACTATCTTTGATACCTTTTTTATGTTGTTAGCCACTTGTTGTGGCACTGCCAATTGTATACTGGTTATATATATATATATATATATATATATATATATATATATATCGCAGATCACAGGAACGTGTTTCAGTGTGGCGACACGCTAGTACGGGCCTTACTGACATAACTGAATCCGCTCATCTCAGGTTGAATCAAAAATACCGACGGAAGCCAGTGACTCCATCTACAACGTGATTCCTGAATGGTCAGAAGAAACTGCAAAACTTTATGATCCCAATGGGAGCGGCTAACGTAGCGTATTTTTGAACGCTTTCTTTTTACAATGCCGCATCTGTGACAGCTTTTCCAAATAGCCACTAGAGTAATGTGGATAGCGAATGGTTGTCCACGCTGCTTGGTGCGTAGAGTACTTTTTGACTTGTGAGTGGAAAGTATAATGTTTACACTATTTATGCGACATGTTCTATCAGCACCTCTGATACGGTTGGCAATCGAAGATTTAAGCTACCGATCACAAAACACCTTCCATTATCGTGTGCGTGGCAGCAGTTAGTGGACGTTGAAGTTGGACTGTGGAAGAAGCCGAATGCAACAATGTGGGTAGAGTACTCACTTTCAGTAGTAAACTGCCGATAAGGATAAGCACCGGAGGCATGTAGACTCCAATGGAGACGTATCGCATGGGATTAGGTAACAAGTAATACCAGAACGACTGATGCATTCGTTCTTGTAGATTGTTCAGCGAGCGAAGAATACCTTCAATCAACCTGGATGGAATAAAATAAGTGGAAAACCCCAATCCTCGTGGAATGCATCGTATGAAGTACAAAAAACGTGATGATACACGAGAAGCAGTGATAACGCTCGGGGAACCGATCGACGTAGTGAATAATGTGAACAAACAAGAAACAGGTTGCAAATAGAAATTGGGTGTTGCCCGCCCGAAAACACTGCACACAGGTTGATTCGATGGAATGACAGCCTTTCGTTCCGACAAGTGCGTTGATGCAAACAGGTAGTCGAAAGTGCGTTTAGCTAGGAAAGAAACGTAAGCAAATCGTTTTAGACAGCGGGGTAAAATGTTAAGGTATAAGTTCATAGAAAATCTGTCTAAGGGTGGGTTGATCTGGTGTACATTCATGGTTACAAAATAGATTCATAAGCATTCTGAAAATAACCTTCAGTGAGGAGCAAACACGCAAAGTGTGATCAGGTGTGGAAGCCCAGCGCGTAGCGGAGAATATTTCCCACTTGCACAAACTGATAGTGGTGAACCATTCGCAGGTAGTCTGTCGGAATAGTCAATTGGAATACTATGCTGGACGAAGTCGTGAAGAGCACAATCACACCAAATACTGATTCAGTGGCGTGACTCACAAGCCGGAACAGAAAGGTTGATACTGAACGAAGCGGTGTAGCGCTGCTGGTTATTGTAAGTTGTTACGAGAAACTAGCATGCAGCTAAGTAAAACAGTTAGTAAAGAGAGATCCAAGAGCCAGTCGAATTTAGCTTCAACAACGATTCAAGTCTACATACACTCGCAGGTCGTTCAGTTAGCTAGAACTCGCCGCTGTCAGTACCGCCGTCCACATAATTACATTTCGCTGTAGGTGGCCTAGTATAAAGTAAGGATCACTTGATAACTACAAGGTCCGATTATCAAAGCGAAAGGCCAATGACGGATCTGGTGTGTCCGTGCAGTTTAACATGCAATGCCGATGTTCGATAGTGGCTTGAAGCAAGATCACCTGGCGGATTTGTGATACGCCCACTCTGGTCCCAGTCGGTTTCATACCCATTCCTATTTGATCTGTCCGCAGCCGGATTCCTTGTTACCCACTATGAACCAATGCAACGTCAGTGACGTTTTTTGAAGTGGACAAATGCCTCACAATGGACAACCGTGCTAATGTAGCACGAGGATCATGACCAGTTGTTTTCATGAGGTCAATTCTGGTAATCCGACAGTAGATAGGGAGAGGTACAGGAAAACACATTTAGTTGTTAGGTATTCCCCGTAATATCGATCAGGTCGTCCATTCGAAGTGACCAAAAAAGACCGGACCTAGTGTCAAGCAGGTTGCTATTGCAAGGTAGGGGCCAATGACCTGCTTCTAAGCGGAGTTCGGTGGTTTTAACTACGAAGTGCAACACTACAGCAAGCAAGCGATTTCAACTTCTACAATCGCGGCTTTATGACGCACGCGCAGTCAACAGTCTCCTGACATCATCACGCTAGATAATTGGGTAGCAATCAACCTGACGACTTCGTAGGATTAGTTTGTTGCTTTAACATCGCAGATATATGGTTGGTACCGTACGGTACACAATCCAAAGATCAAACAGGACGTTACGTTGATATCACAAGAACAACAATACTAAAAAATTTTGGGAAGGGCGCCTCTGGTGGTGCACCAAAAGACACCTTGTTTGCTTGACAAGTTGTGTCCAAAATAACGATGTACGACGACCACATACTTACAGAGGTTCTGATGAGCTTCAAGTTGTACACGGAACATATGGGGCCGGTTATCTACTGTTTTGGGAAGTGAACGGACCCTGACTCGAGCAGCTGTATGAGTTATCTGTACTGGCGGCGGAAACACAGCATTCTCAACAAGCTTTACGCGGAATCATATGCACCAGGCGACATGCAACGGGGTCAAGGCCCTAACGTCACGCTCGGGACACACAAGCGCCACATGCTTTTGTGCCTAAAACGCTTTGTTCTGCTACGAGTAACTCGGCGCACAAGATCCTTGCAATCTAAGTGAATCGAGCTGCACTGACAATCACAGCACAGAATGCTATGGAGGTGTACTTCACTACGGTTAATCAGCTTGAAGTTGATCCATACAAAACTGTATCTTTGGGATAGTGAAATTTAAATAAAAACGGCATAAAGATCTAACGATAAATAAGATGAGGTAAAAAGACAACGAAAAAGTCCAATCAAGAATAAGAAGGGAATGAGTTTCAGGGAACCACTGAGTTCCCGACTGAATAGCGGTAAACATCCCATGGCTCTCATAATGAATGCAACTGGCCAAAACACAAGCCAGCTGCATAGAATAAACTGCGCAAGTGATTGTCCAGTGTCACTGATACCCCAGATAGACAGACTATGGATAAATAGTATAGGCCGAGGTGAATAGCAAGCAGACATGGGAGGAACGTGATTCAAAAGACTCAGCTGCATCACGCGTACCAGGTGGTGCCATCACTACCCACAATGCAGGTGATGTGTTGCAGTAGTAGTAGTGTCCCTAGCTACACGCCGAGTGGATAAACTGAACGCAAATATCACCAAACCTACTTGCCTAAGTGAGCGCCATTTTTCATATGTGCAGCAGAGTGGTGAGCTCTCGAGGGTCCACGGATGGTCACGGCTGGTATCTGGTATCCGATCGGCAATCCATGGAGTCCAGTTGGTGATCCGGATGACTGAGTCCAAACAGCGTGCAGTAAACCCAGAGCGTCCTGCCATCGAAGCATTGTGAAATCGCGGATGTTAGTGTATACCTGCGATGGCACAAATAAGGCCTTGTTAGTGAACATAAGCCCATTAAGCAACACTACGAAGTTATCCACTTTTGGGTGATCAAATGTGTTGGACAGCTAAATTTATGTGGGGTCATTTTTACCATTCTCTCGCTTTAGATATACGTCTAACCAGTCGCGGGAAGCATGGATAGAGACCTCATAAATCCAGTAACTGACTCTCTAAGGAGAAAATGTATCGACAGAAAACGCTTTTGAAAGAAAAATCAATTGTGGAGATAAGGTCGGATACCCAGCTATAAAGTAGACAACAAGGTGAGGTGGGTCCAGTTGTCACAGTGCCAGGTACTACAGCAAAAGTAAGTTATGGTATTAACAAACGGTTGGGGAAAAGGAGGACAAGGTAGACAAGCTAACAAAACAATGACAGAAAAGACAAAAGGGTACCATTTAGAAGCAAATGGAACCAGCCATTTTGTAAATTAATGAGAGACATCAACTATTTCCTGATTTACACCAGTTTATTTTCCAATTCCTGCTAGTCACCTTCGGATTTAAAAATCTGCTATGTGGCTCAAATATGCCCAACAGCCTTCGTACTCGTGATGTATGAAGAACTCCTGTTTGACATTAAAACTCCAAATTCCTGCAGCGTCCGTTAGTTAGCAGGTAAAATATAATACTTGCTATGTTGCTCGTCCACTAACGACCACTGGTCTCACCGCCCTCCTGCATGAACGAGTGAGGCAAGATGCACCAAAATCTGCGCTCTCAAATGGTTGTTGGGATGAGACTGAGCCTCAAAGTAGGGGGATGGTTTGCTTGCTTCAGTGATCCAGCAAGCGCAGCTTAGTGATGTTCCCCTTATGCTACTGGAGTTGCGCATAAGGGATAGATCAACAGTTGGTTAGTGGCTAACATGCAAAGTTTAATAGTGGGTGACCACCGTTGGCCGACTAGAGATGAAGCTCCACCATTTAAGACGATAGGCGCTCCGAGATATCAGACACTGAGAGAAGGTCCAACTGCTGCTTCCTTGCTTAGCACTACTAGATACAAGCCGTCGCCGTCATGGACAACAGTAACACGTCGCAATGAGACCGGACCTAAGCATGGTGTCTCAACGATTAGTTGAACTGTGCTGAGTAGTGCTTCTTGCACCTTCAGATCCACGCAGATCAGATTAGTCAATGGTCAGTCCACTGCACTTCTAGTTTGGTACTTGGAGTGACGGTGGCTCGTTAGTATCTAAAAAAAGATTTCTGTAGCTGATTTCCAAAATCCCGATGTCTTAGCATCAGATTCTTGAACCAAAGGCCATGGCTGAGAGCCCTGATTGTTCGCCTGTCTAGGCCTAAGCAAACTGATAGTACCCAATCCATGCAATACAATTTAGTCTTCATACGTTCGCTTGGTGCTCTCGCATTCTCAGAGGAGAATCAACGGCAATCTATCTGCTATATTGAGCGGAGTGGATTGAAGTGTGGATGTCACCGCTCAGGCCTTACCGTACTCTTATTCCGCCTATTAGGGTTTTTCATGCATATCGACCCGTCCCAACTTCAGTTTTAACCCCCGTTTTCAACCGTCCAATTGTTGTCCGTCTCCCAATTTGCTTTAATAGGCGTTTGTCTTTTACTTTTGACACACACACAATCGGGAAGCGTCACACCTACCCTGTCTACAGTCTACAAATCCATGTCCAACTATGCGGACAACCTCAGTTCATCTGCCTCCATCTGGAGCCCTCGATCCTCGCTAAGGCTGACATATCTCAACGTACGTAGTTTGCTACCGATCGGTCAACAGGCAACACTTACAGAAACACTACAGAGCCCAAGCAGAGATAGATGCCGTTTATCAGAAATCCGCCAGTAACGCTCGAGGTCTGTGTTCACTCTACGATCCATTTAATGTGAAACTGGCGGTACTTTCTATTGCGACTATCCAGAGATACTGTAGCTTCGAATGCCGGTGAAAGCGACATGTGCATTTCTCTGAGCTTCCGAATTATGGTGCTCGAGTAGACAGGATCACAGTCCGTAGCCGGATGTACGTCATCCAACTGGCTTGTCGGAAGTTTCAAAGTCGCGAGCGGCTAACAGGTGCCTGTTGGTCACTGCTGATTACGTCCATACAAACAGCGTGCTGACCCGGTAAGAGACAACTTCTCTTACCAAACGAATGACTTCCATCGTCAGAAAAGAAGTATGGATACTGTGGTACTTGCTGGTGATCTCAGCTTGAAAATTGTCCAGTCAAGAACTGAATGTAGGCGGCCAAGACGCTGTAGGATCCTGTAATGAGAACGGTGGGCGGTTGCTACACCGGTGTGAGGATGCTTGTCTATTTCTCGCGAGCACTAACTCACGACACAGCATCCACCGGAAAGTAAAATGTTGCCTACCGGCCATGGACACAAATCGACCACATTGCGTCCAGAACTGTCGCTCGACTTGGAGAATAGGAGTAGACTCCAACCATGCATTTGTTAGTGGCGATTTGCCAGTGCTTTTAAACAGACGTCCGTAACGACGCTGTGAGCGCATGGACACCCACCAACTATTGAAGCTAAATGATATGAATGGGTATCAAAGTACGCTGGCAACCAAGCTGTGTAAGGACTCCCTGAACACAGTTGAAGGTCAATGGTTGCACGTTCACCAGAGAGTATTAACAGTAGGCGCGTCTTCATGGGGTAAAGCTGACTGCTAGTCTCGACTATGGATCTTTAACGTACTCTCTGTAACTACTGGATGCTAGCTAACAAATCCCTGCTGAAAACGAACACAAATAAGGAGCCAGAGGAAAAAATGTGTGCCAGATTGATGACAGAGCGCGCTGGCTGGTAGCCACAGAATACCGCTGCCCTTGCTACCGGTGGGAATTATTTCGTATAATACGGGAAGGGAAGAACAAGAGACCCGGCGTTAGAGAGACAATGTGCAACGAGGGTCGACATCCAATCCACACTCTGTCTAAAGGATTTGGGCGGTGAGACGAAAACTAAAAAGCAATTCAGTCTGTCAGTTTCCGTCTGCCTTGCGGGTCCTTATTCGCCCCACTCCCTGGGACGTCTATTGGAAACACACTATGGCGTAGAAGACGAACGTAAGATCAGACTGCTGAAGTAGAACAAGGAGGTAGGGCCATATGAACCACCTCTGGTCCTCCTCAAATTGAGAGGGGGGGGGCAATCTTGCGAAAGATCTACAAGATCTATTAGTGAAGCGGGCAGCAAGGAACTGTCCAAACCAAATGGAGCTACGCCAATATTGTCCCGATCTTCAAGGGGTTCATGTGTGCAATGTGGCAGTCATAGGAATGATCAGTCTGATCTCTATGGCATCTAAGTTACCTCCCACTGTGGTTCCTCGCAGACTGACTGGCGTCCGTGAAAGCCAGAATCATGAACAGCAGGTCAGGTTCCGTCAAGTTCGAGGCTTCAGTGACCATATTTTCACTTAACATCAATTGTTGGGGCACCTCCATATTTGTTGGCGATCCACCGTGGTCGTGTTCCTCGATGTCAAATGTATCCTCGATTCCGTGAATCCATGTGCCCTCTGGAACTGTCCTTTTATGAAAGGTGTGCTAGGGAAATAACTAAATTTTACTGGAGCGCAATACGCGCGTAGTTCTGACAGTGATAACTTATGATAAACCGTCGCCGTACCTCAGTGTCTCCAGCAGTGTAACATCGTTATTGATGAAGTCAAAGGAACCGCAATCAGTGGACACGGCTCAGGTGTAAAGTTGCCACCACGTGATCAATTCTTGAGTTGGAGTACGCCGACAATTTTCTCCTAATCTGTGATAGCTCATAAACTTGCCAAGCAGAACTGGACAGACTACCATTGGCTGTCAACCGTTTCAATGTTCGTTCTGCATCCTCCAAACGCAAAGTTCCCTCTGAGATTGACAGGGACCGCCCACTACGATGGCGCTTGTTGGGGATCAACTAGGTGTTCTTCAGAAATTCAAATGCCTGTGCAGCTGTATCTTCAACTGTGGAATGGATGATGAAGTCACGAATCGCATGGTAAAAGGTTGAAGAGCTTTCTCTTAACTTCGCCATTTGTGTATGCAATGCATCTGTCTGTTTAAGCCAACTATGAGATTGTGAAACCTGGTATATTAGATGAACAAACGTAAAGAAGCCTAATACGTTCGACCATTGGTGCCTTCGCAGTTTGGTTCACATCTAGCGGAAACACCGCGTGAGCAATGAGCAGGTTCGGCGTCTCTTACTTGCTTCAATAAGAGTGAGTGAACAACTCGGCACCATCATTGCACGCACCAAATTCCGATGGCTGGACAGTGTTGCATACGCCAGCATACTGACTTTCAGGACCTGCATTGTTTGCGTGATCTGGGTCTGGATGAAAGAGGAGGAAAGGCTAACCGATGACTTGATCAAGAGGAATGAAGACCCTCACTTCGAAGTCACCCTTTACTGAAGACTCTTGATTTCTTGGTTATGGTCCGAATGACCATGAGCACGTTGCTTTTTGACAGGGCAAAGAACCGACCTCAGTGGGGTTTGTGTTGCGAGTCGCTTTGGTCCGTCCCATCCCGTTTAGCTTCTTTCTCCAACCACGATACCATGGACAATGAATAAGAAAAAGCAAAGCCCAACAATGTTTTTATCTGATTTTATTATCGGTCCCGTTTTTTGCATGCTTTACCACAATTCAACTGAACTGTATTGTTGCATTACAACTAGTAAACAGTGGAAAAGAAAGCGGTATTAACGAGATGTCTTTCGTGTGGATCTCGCTGTCCCGCGTCAGAGTAAACTTTAACCCACAGCAAACTTAGCATCAGACATACCTAAAACAGGTAGTTCAACTAGGGTACGACAATCAACACACCAGTGGTGCATGTTGCGAGTCATATCCTTTAAGGTCTAGAATCAAGTACAAGGTGAGCAGCAGCCTGCATTTCAGCTTAGAGGTCGAAATGTACCAGCAACATCTAGTTCCGCTGTCGGTGCCCGTAATTGCTCATTGCCAAGTCCA